AAAGGAGGAGGATTGGCAATAGATGTTAGCTCAGAGCCGGTCTTCCTCAGCAAAAAGAGGAGGATTAGCATGGATGTTAGCTCAGGGCTGATCTTCCTTACAAAAAAAAAAAAAACTGTTTAAGAGAAAAGTGTATAGCAATACAGGCATACTGCAAGAAACAAGAATAAATCTCAAATAAACAATCTAACGACATCTAAAGGCACTAGAAAAAGGACAAAAGAAGCCTAAAGTCAGTAGAAGGAAGGAAATAATAAAAATCAGAGTGGAAATGAATGAAATAGAGACTAAAAAGATAATAGAAAAGATCGATAAAACTAAGAGCTAGTTCTTTGAAAAAATAAACAAAATTGACAAACCTTTAGCTAGACCCACGAAGAAAAAGAGAGAGAAGGTTCATATTAATAAAATCAGAAATGAAAGAGGAGAAATTACAATGGATATCACAGAAATACAAAAGATTATATGCGATGAAAAGCTATACACCAAAATTGGATAGCGCAGATGAAATGGATAAATTCTTAGAATCATACAACCTTTTAAAATTGAATCAATTAAAAATAGAGAATCTGAACAGACCAATCACTAGTAAAGAGATTGAAACAGTAATCAAAAACCTCTCAAAAAACAAAAGTCCAGGACCAGATGGCTTCTCTAGTGGATTATACCAAACAAAGAAGATTCAATAGCTAACCTTCTCAAATGTTTCCAAAAAGTTGAAGAGGAAAGGATGCTTCCTAACTCATTTTATGAGTCCAACATTACTCTGATACCAAAACCAGATAAGGACAACCCAAAAAAAGAAAATTATAGGCCAATATCGCTGATGAACATCGTTGCAAAAATCCTCAACAAAATATTTAGCAAATTGAACACAACAATCCAATAAGAGGATCATAGACCATGATCAATTGGGATTTATCCCAGGGATGCAAGCATGGTTCAACAACTGAAAATCAATCAATGTGATACACCACATGAATAAAATGAAGAATTAAAATCACATTATCATCTCAATAGATGCAAAGAAAGCATTAGACAAGATATAGCATCCATTTATGATAAAACTCTCAAGAAATGTGTATAGAAGTACCTTAACATAATAAAGGCCATATACGACAAGACCACAGCTAACATCATACTCAACAGTGAAAAACTGAAGGATATCCCTCTAAGAACAGGAACAAGACAAGGATTCCCCCTCTTTCCACTCTTCTTCAACATAGTATTGGAAGTCCTAGTCAGAGAAATTAGGCAAGAAAAAGAAATAAAAGGTATCTAAATTGGAAACAAACAAGTAAAACTGTCATTATTTGTGGATGACATGATTTTATATATAGAAAACTCTAAAGAATCCACCAAAAAACCATTAGAGGGGCTGGCCCAGTTGCATAGCAGTTAAGTGGGTGCACTCCGTTGCAGCGGCCCAGGTTTCAGATCCCGGGTGCGCACCGACGCACAGCTTGTCAAGCCATGCTGCGGCACCATCCCATAAAAGTGGAGAAAGATGGGCACGGATGTTAGCCCAGTGCCAGTCTTCCTCAGCAAAAAAAAAATATATATATATATAGGAAGATTGGCAGATGTTAGCTCAGGGCTGATCTTCCTCACAAAAAACGAACAAACAAAAAACCATTAGAAATAGTTAACAAATACAGTAAAGTTGTAGTACACAAAATAAACATGCAAAAATCAGTTGTGTTTCTATACACTAACAACAAACACACAGAGAGAGAAATCAAGAATACAATCCCATTTACAACTGCAACAAAAGGTATAAAATACCTAGGAATAAATTTAACCAGGGAGGTGGAAGATCTGTACACTAAAATCTATGAGATATTGTCGAAAGAAATTGAAGAAGACACAAAGAAATAGAAAGATATTCTGTGCTCATGAATTGGAATAATTAACATAGTTAAAATGTCCATATTACCTAAAGCAATCTACAAATTCAATGCAAGCCCTATCAAAGTCCCAACAACATATTTCACAGAAAGAGAAGAAAGAATTCTAAAATTTATATGGAACAGCAAAACACTTAGAATAGCCAAAGTAATCTTGAGAAAAAAAGAACAAAGCTGGAGGTATCACACTCCCTGATTTCAAAGTATACTACAAAGCTATAGTAATCAACACAGGTTGATTTGGAAGATTAGCAGGTACAAAGATCAATGGAACAGAATTGAGAATCCAGAAATAAACCTACACATTTATGGACAGCTAATTGTTGATAAAGTCAAGAACATGCAATGGAGAAAGGGAAGTCTCTTCAACTAATGGTGTTGGGACAATTGGACAGCCACATGCAAAAGAATGAAAGTAGACCACTATCTTATATCATACACAAAAATTAACTCAAAATGGATTAAAGACCCAAATGTAAGACCTGAAACCATAAAACTCCTAGAGGAAAACATAAGCAGTACACTCTTTGACATTGTCTTCGCAATATCTTCTGGAATATCATGTCTCCTCAGGCAAGGGAAACAAAATGTGAGTGCATCAAATGAAAAAGCTTCTCCACAGCAAAGGAAACCATCAACAAAATGAAAAGACAACCTACCGATGGGAAAAGATATTTCCAAATCAAATATCCCATGAGGAATTAACATTCATAATATGTAAAGAACTCATACAACTGAACAAAAAACAACAAACAACCTGATTAAAAAATGAGAAGAGATTCTGAATAGACATTTTCCCAAAGAAGACAGACAGACGGTCAACAGGCACATGAAAAGATGTTCAACATCAGTAATTTAGGGAAATGCAAATCAAACCACAATGAGATATCACCTCACACCCATCAGAACAGCTATTATTAAAAAGACAAGAAATAACAAGTATTGGAGAGGATGTGGAGAAAAGGAACCCTCATACACTGTTGATGGGAATATAAATTGGTGCATCCACTACGGAAAACAGTATGGAGATTCTTCAAAAAGTTAAGACTAGAACTACCATATGATCTAGTGATTCCACTTCTAGATATTTATCCAAAGAACACAAAAACACCAATTTGGAAAGATATATGCACTCCTATGTCCATTGCAGCATTATTCACCATAGCCAAGACTTGGAAAAACTTAAGTGCCCATCAGCGGACCAACGGATAAAGAAGAAGTAGTATATATATACAGTGGAATACTACTTAGCCATAAAAAGATGAAATTTTGCCATTTGCAACAACATAGATGGACTTTGAGGATATTAAGCTAAGCGAAATAAGTCAGATGGAGAAAGACAAATACCATGAAAGACAAACACCATATGATTTCACTCATCTGTGGAAGATAAACATACAGATACAGAGAACAGATTGGCCTTTACCAAAGGGGAAAGGGGGGTAGGCAAAAGGGGTAAAAAGGTACATGTTTATGGTGACGGATGGCAACTAGACTTTTGGTGGTGAACACAATTCAGTCTCTACAGAAGTCGAAATATAATGATGTACTCCTGAAATAATCTATATAATGTTATAAACCAATGTTACCTCAATAAAAAATAGAGTGAGAGGTGTGTGTGAGTGTAAAGAGAGAGAGACATTCACAATATATTAAGTGTAAAAAGAAAGTTGCAGAATAATATGTATAGTATGACCCCCTTTTTCATAAAATATGTATTACCTATTACAAAAATTTTATAATAAAATGTATTAAAATTAAAAAAGTTTTAAAAAAGATAATACGTAAATATCAAATAAACCATAACAAGGTAAGGATAATTGGCTCTGAGATTGATCTCCAATTAATCAAGGTCACCCATTTACATTTTAACATTTCTCTTAAAGATTTGCTCACATTATAAAAAAATTCTTTTGTTCCAGATTTATAAAAAGTCTTCTCCCACTATAAAATTGAGAATAAAGAATTGATGATACAAATGGGAGATAGCCCTAATACAGAAGTTTCACAAAATATCTTTTAATTTTATTTTTAATGTATAACTTACATGTAGATAGTGTGTCTATGGGTAATATAGAGTAATATAGGAAAAAATATACTAGGAAGAGTAAACCAGGTTTTCTTCCAGTTTCACTTAAGCTTTCAAAGCTTAAAATTGAACAGATCAGCTAGTTGAAGAAATATCCAGGGCTTGTCTGACAGTTTCTGTCTACTGTCAGAATTATGTCAACTAGCTTTTAGAACAGCAAAAAACGTGGCAAGAGGCTAATGCATTAGGTCTAAAAGACAAATTGTTCACTAAAGGTGAGGTAACTGTTTTTCAAGAAGAAACAGCTGTGTTATCATTAGAGGTAAAGCTCTCGTGATTATACGGCCACTTATATCAGAAATTCAGCCACCTTAACTCCACTGTGCAATTTGTCTTCCAGACTGGATTCATTGTCTATGTAACTGACAAAACTCCCTGGTTTAGAGCTTATTCACATGCTGAAAACTGAGTAACATGTTCTTACAGATATAAATATCTATAGAGCTTCCTTCAACAACAGAAGTCAATGTCCTTTCCAACTTTGCTAAAACACCAAGATGCACTGAGTAAGCTTCATTGAATTGTGTTGTTTTACGCAAGTATGCAAAGTTGTGAGTTTCCTTCTTTTTTTGGTAATAATTGTGACCTCAGGCTCTCATAAATGAATTTGCTGCTCCCTTTGAAGAAAAAGATCAAGAAAAATTCCCCAAGTACAAAACCAAAAAGAAAAGAAAGGTTTCTTTGCTTACTTGAACTATACTTCTTGTCTTATTGTTCCTTTAATGTTTTCTTAAATAATGAAAATCAGTACAGAACCGGAAGTTATGCTTTTCTCTCCATTACCCATTCTTTTAAGGAAACACTATGAAAATTTCAATATATTTTTTAAATTATGATAATGCTAAATAGCATTTGTATGACACTACAGTTTACAATGCCTTTACTTGCCTTTGGACTTCACAATCCATTCAAAATTTGAAAGTAACTGACAGTCATTGGAAGCTTATGGGGTCATATATTGTGTTAGGTGCATTCATCATATCATATCATTTTACTCTAATGAAGTGGGTATCATTATATGATAATTTTTTTGATGCAGAAGCTGAGTCAGAAAATCAAGTAAATCACATAGGACCACACAACTAATAAGAGAAAGAAGTAGGATTCGTACCCTCATAGGCCTATGCTGCTTCTAAAAGGTATTCTCAATTGCACTTGTAAATTAGGCACCTTCTCTCATTTTGTTGATGTCTAACCCAATGTTGATGTCTGATTTTTTTGGCATCATGTTTTATGGCATTTGATGCTTTTGAAAAGCAGAATAATAATCAGAACTGCCTTTATTGTGTGCCTACTAAGTACCGCACTATGAACTTTATCTTATTGCAAATTTTCACTAAAACCATGCAAGATAGGGATTATTATACCTGTTATATGGATGGAGAAACTGAGCCTCAGTGACATGAAATAAATTAACCCAGGTCACATAGCAAGAACTAGCAGAATCAGGACTCCAAGCCACTCTCTCTCCACCAGACCATACTGCCAAACAGGATGATCCTTTTTTGATTATCCTAACTACCTATACCCTTGGTGAATTCTAAGCAATGTGTCTTGAATTTTCTAATGTGATGCTACATTTTAAAACAATCACAGCTATTTTATATCTAGCAAGACATTATTTTCCAAGAAATGCACATAAAATGAGCAAAGTCTTATTTGGATACTAATTTTACAGTGCAAATTGGTACAGGCAAAGCTGCTTTGACATGTGGATATATTTGTAAATGTTGCCCTTGGGCTTGCAAAGTATTCTTCTCCAGAGTCAATGAAATGCAAATATAATTAAGCTACCCTTTCTGAGGTGACCACTTTTTAACCAACTATTTTTTGTATCAACTAGATTCCTTTGGGAAATAATGGGAAATCTGGTATTATGCAATTATGCTGTATAGTATTTTAATTAAAAAATGTATCACTGAATACTTAAATATTCTGTGTCTGCCAGAACCTACAATCATTTTGCAAATGCAAGGGAGCAGGGAAAGAAAATACACATCTTCTCTGTTTATATTTTAATCAGAATATGAAAGTTCATGGCTAAAAATGAAGATTTCCCATTTCCTAACAGATATAAAAAATTTAGGCATGCCCTTTTTTAGTTCTAAGCTGCATCAAATTCTACCAACATTAATTAAAGTTTAATAACTTCATGTTATACATATATGTTGTATTTGAATCCACAAAGTACAACTAAAATAGGTCACCCATTTTTAGGTTTATAACAATATGGTGTAATAAATCACAATGTTTTATTATAATATTTCGGTGTGGCACGGTGAACTAGATTCTTCCAAATTGATAAGTTCTTCTGGAGTTGAAAATAACACTTATTAAAAGGTACACACACATTTTTCAGGTCATCAGGACATTTGATAATAACACAGAATGGCAAATGATTAAGCATGCCTGAAACATATTATGTTAAAGTCCTATTGGTCTCAGGACAATCAAGCTAAGACTGCAAAAAAGGAGATTTACAAGAGAAATAAAAAATACTTTTGCTGTCAAAAGAGCTCTGGCCTAGAATCAGGAATGTGAGATTGGTGCTGTGCACAAACTAGCTGTGAGACCTTGGGCAACAGTCTTTCCTTGCTGGGGACTCAGTTGCTTTAACTGTTAAATGGGATAACAAAGTAAAAAAAAAAACAGATGTGGTAGTATTTTGAGAGGGGAAAATACTATATACAAATCTAGTGTATTTCTATTGTTAGTTTATTGTTTATACTGCAAATAGATTGACTGTAAATACTTAGTGTGACCCTATTGGAAAAATATTAACACAGCACAGAAGGGAATTTAAAGAAAAGTGAACTCCCTATCTGAAATCCACTCTCCAGAAATCACCACTGCTAACAATTTCTTCTTATCAGATTTTCAGAAATAAATGCTAAGGTTTTCTATTAGAGTGAAGAGTTAATTTTTTAAATCAGCTCATATTTGAAGGCTTGCTTTTCCAACTCACTGCACAACTCTAAATTTGGATTTACTTTGTAGTTCAGATGCGGGAAAAAAAAGCAAATAGATTGTAGTCAGAAGACCTTGTTTAAGTCCTGGCATTGTACCTTATTAGCTGGGTTGCTGGGTAAAACTCTGAGTATAAATTTCTCATCACTAAAATCAGAATAATATTTCCTCTCAGACTTGTTAATGAAATAAGAACATGAACATGCTCTTTAAACTATAAAGTGAAACACTAAGTTGTTATTGTTAATATAGTTTTTAGAAAGGTTAAATATAGATAGAGACAATGGAATAAAGTACTCCTAAATTCAAGATGCCTACTCATGTCGTTATTTCTAAGGGGTTCTGCCTCCGTTCTACTTTGTCAGCTCTCTGAGAATGTTGAAAGCTGACTATGAAATAAAGAAATATTTCTACTTATCTCCTGTTCCCACAGCATTCTCACCCATACTGGCTGTTCACACCCTTCCAATAAGCACACGCAGGTAACTGAGAAAATGAAGAGAGAGAAAAGAAACTGACACAAAAACAGTTCCCTCCAACATCTCTCTCGTAAATTTAATTTCCCTTCACCCAACAAACTGTCAAAAGCAATAGGAAAAAAATAGGATAAAATCTTCAGG